GGCAAGCACTTAGGGTTAAGAACTGTCCTTTGGTCTATGCTTTGTTTTGTTTAAAGGGGGTCTTACCAAATAGTGGCCCCTGTGAACTGCGGTGGTTTTACAAAGCCTGGGTGTCATCTCGGTCTCTGACAGATCAGAGGAGTAAATCCAAAAACAGGGAATTTTATTGGCCCTCTGAAATGCAATCACATCCATATTCACATTCAAGAACATGGCTTTTACTGAAGGCCTAAATAAACTTTTTATAGGTAAACACTAAAATGGGGTACTTTTGAACTGAAACACAGAGACAGCGACTGTGATTTGAGAAGAAATTGTGAAAACAGATAAGGTTAGAGTGTAGTAAAAAAAAAAAAAAGAAGCAGGAAAGCTTGTACATATTGCATGTTTCCGTTTGGTACCATCTCCCAGGGCCACTGTGGCTGCTTCCTGATGTGGTTTTCATTATTTATCCAGCATCTATTGGACAATATTGGAGCTGACTCTCAGCTCTGCTGCCATATTGGCAGCAGGACAACGGAGCAACAACAACGGAAGTGAAAAGGAAGAAGCTGCAGTGTTACTGCACATTCAGTCTGGACTGAATCTCTGTTTGCACAGTTAGACATTCATGAAAATACTAGATTCATCAAAGTCTGGTGCTGTCATTTGGCAAGGCTCAACACTACCTGTGTGTAACCCTTCTGAGAACACATCTTCTTGTTTATTTAGCTGTTGTTTGATTGTTGACAATGAAATTAAGTTAAATTGCACAAAGAGCAGCAATTCGCCTGAGCAGCACAGCACATACAATGTATCAAATGTTATCAATTTCCTTTCTGCCACGGAAGACACACAATATTGGATGTACATGAGATTACTCACCTGCCAAAACCAAACAATAGCTAATGTATCTCCGGTTCAAATTACATTTACCATAGGGTGTCATCTCTAAGCTGTTTAATGCATTGTGGGACGAAGGGCTTTAATCAGCAAGGCTCAGTGGAGCCAGCGGATTAAATCACTTTTTATCTGCGCTTCCTTTGACTTTCCCAGAGCTCAGGGTTGCAGTGTAAATCATAATGCGTCCCTGTTGGGCTCACTTCAGTATGGTTTATTGCTGTAGTAACATTTCATAAATTCCATTTATTTTGTGTATTGAGTAAATCCACATCCACTGAAAAACAAGGATAACTCTTTATTCTCATCTCCAACTACAATTTCTCAAGAAGGAGTTTATTTTGTCTATGAGTGTATAAGTTCATCTACTTGGGTGTGTGTAGCCTATGTACTTTGGAATACATGTACAGTATGTGGATGTGGACTGTTGCATGCAAATATATGCCCATAGGTGAAAACACACATACGCATATTTTGCCATCTATGCACTTTATCTACATGCATGTGTGGAGCATGTGAATGACTTTGGATCTGTGTGCTGGTTATGCACACTCACAGCCGACAACAGCGACAGGGAGATCGGCTGCCGCATTGCACAGAATAGCTAAACAGCTGTAGTGCTCCATCAGGGCTATCGATCATGTCCCTCTCTCTGAATCACAATCAGACGTGGGCAGAGCAGAGCGGCTGGAGCAGGGCTTGGTGACTGGCTTGTTGGATGAAAGCTACGCACCTCTCATATCAACCATGGCTCACCAAACAAACCTGACCTGGATAGCAGATTATATGCATCTATATGCGAGTGCTGTTTCTGTAGAACTTCTAAATGCAAGTTCCTGGCAAGCACCTCCTTTTCCCCCCCAGTGGTGTGTTTTATTGCTTATAAAGAATATATCAGTGTCTATCATGTTTAATGCACTTGTTACTTATGTTACAGTTATACAGGATGTCTAATCACAACACGTATTTACACCTCATGTACTGCACATGCCACCCCAGTAGCATTAAACCATATATTGTATCTAAATAACACATGTAACCACCAGAACAATTAGACATGCTTTCATTAAAAACTTAATAGTAAGAAAAGGGAAGTTGTTTAAGTATCATTAGCTGCCATCTGCTATCATGTCCCCACACTGTATATCAATTCAACATCTCATGTAATCACAAGGAAGTTAGATGTTATTACATTAAAATTTAAACAGGAAGTGTATGGAAGCTGTCTATGGCACCATTAACTGCCATCTGTTAGCATCTCCACAATCTTCTGTTCTGGATGTTCCTCCTCTCTGTGTCATTGTGTTATCTGCAACTCAATGTTAACTTCCTGTCAATATGGTGACTTCCTTTCCATTTATTTTCCCTTGGTCAGTTGAATTGAACAGATGACCTGGCACCTGACATCCACATATTTACTTCCTGGTATGGGACAGCAAGGTTACAACTCAATATCCTTTTGTACTGCCACTGGACACACCTGAGTAGAGGAGGGCAGCTGTAACAAAACCAACCCCCATCACACACACACATTCATACACACACATCTCTTGACACAGTGTGATTGAGTGGCTAAGCTGGAAATGCAAAGGCTTGTCAGATATGGGCTTGAGAGGATTGGTGACCAAGCTTGGTACACTAAGAAAAGAATGTGCATGTGTATGCGCATGCATGCATGTTGAGAGTGTTGCAGAGTATGTGTGTAGGTGTGTGTGTTACCGCAGCTACTTTGTGTGTGTTTGTGGGCTGTGTTTCAAACGCTAAATGCTGGAAAAAAAAGAATTTCATTAGCATTATTAGGATGTTGACATTCCACTCAGGTCAAAGTTACTGGCGCATGACTATATTTGTGCTCATGTGGTTTGTGCGTGTGTGTGTATGTCAAAGCTCACACAGTGTAGTAGTCATAGCTATCACACAAGCATACCCATGCACGTGCACACACACAACACACACACATTGCTGTGTGTGGCAAGGGCCCCCCGGGGGGTGCCGCTGAGCTGTCAAAGCAGGATGGATGAAGAAGCTGCCCTGCATAGCAAGGGGCTCTGGGGAAATACCACCAACATGACACACACACACACACTGACACAGACTCTGTCAGCACACAAATACAGTATGTATGTGTTCCCGCTTTAAAAACCATAAATTTGAATATGCACGCAGGAATCGGAACACAGAAACAAATACAAATGTAGTGAGAATACATAGCTTGCAAACTTGTACACACACACACACACACACACACATATACAAAAGGCTTTTTGCTGTCTGTGTGAGAAACAGAAACAGCCCTGGGGTCCTCCACATAGGAACATCTGAGTTTGATAACAGAGGAATGCCCAGAGATCTCCATTTACCAGACAGCAAGTCAACATGGACGCTGTCAGAAAGCAGAAAAAAGCACACTTCCTCAACCCCCATGCTTTTTTATAAATTCATAACTATGGCAAAAGTATCAAATGAATGAAAGCATGAGCCTTTAACCATCAGTATTTACAAATAGAATAAGAATAACTCTTTTTTTATCACACTTTGTGTGATTTTGCTTATAATTCCTATCAGTACTAACATTGTAGTCACAAGAAAATTCTATATTTGGGGGTACTCTTTGTTGGTTTAGCGCCAAATAAAGTGGTTTAGATTTTGATAACAAAGTCAGTAGATTACTCAGCAATTACTTTGGTGAGTACAATGTCATCATAAGTCAAAGAAATGGTGGCCAAAATTACAAAAATAAGACCCAAGTTGTAATAAACCGAGGAATTGATTATGCATTACCTCATATTACAAATGGCAATAGCACAAGGAACATTAATAGCTTTTGCAGCAGCCAGTCATGTTTACACACAAGAATACATTAACAGAAAGGGGAGATTTCATGGACCCTTTAGGAGGGACCATGGTAGCACCAGACCAGAGCAAACCTTGTAAACTTAACCATTCTTAATTCCACAGAAGGATTTCCTCGATCAGGGCAGTAAATCTCCATGCTTGGCACAAGCCTGAACAATCCATTAACAATAATAAAGCCTGAGCGGCCGGGAGATAGACCCTTAAAGGGGAAGGTCAGCCTGATATTACAGCTTTAAAGGTTTCCTATTACGGCTCAACTTCAATATAACCACTCACCTTGCCTTTAATGGCTGCTGGCTATGCAGTGGCTGAGCATATATGGAGATTCTAAATCCAGTCTCTCTGAGATATTACTGGATAGTGGAGAGCAATTTATGGTTCTGTTTCTATGCCGCTGGTTGGAGGTGTGAGTATTGTTAATAAAATTGCCACAGGGGTGAAGGAGATCTCCTCGGTATCGCCCTGTCTGACCCCCACGCCCTGCTGGGACACACGGGATGCTTCGAGCGGTGCAGCACCTGGCCCCAAAAGTGCTTAAGCAGCAGATTTTTTTTTCATCCGCTCTGACTCTTTCTTTCATATCTTTACTCTCCTTCCACCTCGCTCTCCTTTTTGCAACCCATACTCCCACAGAGACATGCTCTGTTTCCAACATTACCATTGCCTTTTGTTTCAAACTTTTGGGGTACAAATGTCACTTTGGACACCAAACTAACTTCTGTGCTAACACACAATGTGGTACACTCTTGTCTCTACATCTGTCTCCATTTGGTGACATTCTTTCTTTCAGCCTCTTTTCCCTGCCTGTTTTCTCCTTGGCCAGCTTGTTCCACTGTCTAGGGTGACTGCAAAAAAGAGAGAAGAGAGAGGACACGGCAACAGAGAGCAGGAGCAGGAGAGGAAAGAGGGGAGAGTGCAAGCTCTTAAGTAGATTGCAAAGAACAGCACAGAGGCATGAGTGTGAATATTAAGAGGGCACCACCAGGGAGGGAGAGACACGGTGACAGAAAGAGAGAGAGAGAGAAATAGGGGTGAGGAAGAGACCTATAGAACTGTCAGCTATTAAGCCATAGCCACGACAGCTAACTTCAGGTGTCAGAAACAATGGTGTACACAATCTATCAAGCTGTCCGGCAGATCTGAGATGATAAATTAACATAATTGAATTAGAAAGGAAGTTTCTCATTTCAAAGGTGATGATTTTTCAAGAAAGAAAGGAAAGGGGTGATGAGAGGGTGATGTAAAGCAAAGAAGGAGAAACTCACCTGGAATGCCTGGTGGGGTTTTCAGGTATTTTCCATTGAAATGCTGTATCACTACTTCACATTTCTCTGTGGACTCCATCCTGCAACAAAAAGTGATACATAGGGTTTAATTAAAAAAATATTCACTTGTCATTTGTAGCAAAGTTTGAAACTTCTGTAGTAATTGGAAATAAAAACATTGAATTATGACACAAACAGACAGCGCTTATAAATATACTAAATATACTAAATTACTCTATGGTAAATATGGCTGTTACTTTATAGCACCAAACAGAATGGCATGCCATTTTTAACCATCACAAACAGGTAACAACTCTGGCATGAAATACAGTTTACAACTTCAGACCAAGGTAGCACTTGTAAACAAAAATATATCAGAGAAAGCACTGCTGCAGTCAGTTTCATTATCTTTTAAAAGACTCAAGATAGCTTGTTCCTATTTAGCACTGGAACCCTTCACACATAAAACTCCAATGAGACAATCCACAGTCTGTCAGTCTATCTGCTTGGGAATGTCATTGTCTGCATGAGTCAGAAGTGCATAATGAAATTCAGGGTTTTTGTAGGGAAAGACTTTTTATGCAGCCTTTCTCCTTGCCTGGTAGAAAAGACAGAGTAGAGAAAGACAGAAAGAAGAGGCAAAAGGGATGCAGGGATATATAAAAAAGTAGAAGAAGGGAGATAAGAAAGTATAAGAAGGTAAAGATGAAATGCTTATGAGTCGTAAAGACTTTGATTTCCAGAGTGGGGGAGAGAGAGAAGACAGGACACTGACAGACTCGTCTCCCTCTTTCCAGCCACTGGATCAAACATCTATGGGTCGAGCAGATGACCAGCAGGAGGCCTCTGATCTCTCACATCAATAGCACTAATGCCCATTCAGTATACACATCACATCAAAACATGTACAGAAGTATATCAAACACATAAAAATGCGCAAATGTATTGCATTTTGGCATATCTTTTATCCTTGTGCTGTGGTGGGAGGAAAGCTGCATACCTGTGAGGAAATTTGAGCAAATTATACTCTATCCACCAGCTTGAATCAAACTCCCAATCTTTAACTCTATACAACACACACAAATAATATCTGCCCCATTCTATTAACTTAAGTTTTTTTCTAGCCCTGACTTTAAATCTCAAATTGTGAATCATGTACACTGATGCAGGTGCTACATAAAATAGTCCACAGATCATCAAAGTTTTTACAATTTATTCTGAAGGGAACATGAATTAAAATCAATTAAATTGTATTTGTATAGCCCCAAATCATAACAAAAGTAGAACTAGACCGTACTTATACAATTATCAACAGAGACCCAACAGTTCCGACCATGAGCAAGCATTCGGTGACAGTGGCAAGGAAAAACAAAGGCAGAAATGTCGAGCAGAGGTTGAGACGTTTCACTGAAAACTAGGTGTGTGAACTTCATAGTGGCACTTGAAAACAAGTTAGGGGATCAGTCATTAGAATTCATCCTCTGTGGAACATTAAGATATTTCTGCAAACTAATCCAGTAGATGTTGAGACATTTCACTGTATAAGTTAAAAGTTTGACACACTGGTGACCAAAATCTCAACCTGCTGGTGGCGCTACAGGAAAAGTTGGTAGGATTAATCCTGTGGGACCATGAACATATAATATTTAAGTCTGGACCAAAGTGGTGCACCTACAGCCAGTGACCGACTAACATTGTCATTATTAGAACTGTGCCTCTGTGGCTAAAAACATAAATCACAGCGCAACCAGTAAAGGAGTATGATTTGTTTTCCTCTGTGCAAATGGAAATGTCTATATATCAAACATAACCACGTTAAGTTACAGTAACATAAAAAACACATAGCTATAGTTACTATGCAGTTTCTTTAATATATACTCACAGATGACTCATATTACAATGAGACCATTTTTAAATGCAGGTTTGAGTGATTGCTATGCCTATGGTAATATCCTCTTGGAATGTGAAGAATCCATTGCTTTTCAGATTTTCATGCTTTATTCGCTCTCACCTCCAAGAATACTCATATCATCCTGTCAGCCTCTCACTTCTCTGTCCTCCGTCTCTCATCCTTCTCCTATCTCTACCTTTATCCTTCTTTTTTTACCATAGCTTCTTTATCGCTCTCTCTGTCCCATCCATCTTACTCCCGGCCCGTCTGCACCTCTTCTTTTTGACGTCTCTCTCATTCCTCCCTATCTTTCAACCTTGGTTATTTCCTCCATCTTTCAGTGTTACCCTCACTCTCGCTCGCCCCATCTCTCTCACTTTCCATGCCCTCCTTTCCTTCCCTCTCTGTCCATCCTTTTGTGTCTCTGTTATGCCCTATACACATCAACATCTTTCTCCGTTTTCCTATCCCTGCTTCTCTTTTTAGAATATATAATCTTTCAAACTCTCCTTCTTTTCCCTATTTCCTTTCCTGTGTTTGAGCAGACTGATACTCGCCAGCCAGTGTGACTTGGCTGATCACTAATCACCGGCCATCAGCAGCACTCAGCAACCAGAAATCATCAAAGCACTGTCATTCATTCAGCTGATCGAAAGAGTATGCATGTTATGATTTAATTTATTATATGATATATATATATATATATATATATAGCTATATGTATATATTTTATTTATTTAGTCAACAAAAGAAACCAGACTTCACAATTTTAAATGTCTTAACACAAGCAGCCGTACATGAATTGCGCCTAAATAAAATTGGTAGAATTAAGATTTAAATCAGTGACTGTTTGATCAAAGAATAAGAAAAGAGAGTAAAAAAAATACACTGAAGCCTCCTATGGTAGTTTCATTACCTGACAGTATTTAATACTCAGTGCTGAGGACACATTTTGTTCAGCACCAAAAAAAGCATTTGGGTTTGATATCCAACTCTTAATTATATACAATAGTCTGTGTCCAAATTTTCCCAAAAGTCCTTTTACAAACTGTTCAAAATACCATAATTTGGGATAATTTTTTTTTTTGATTAAAGCATTCCAATGAATGCTTCATTGGATTTAAGTGCATTTATGTGAACATATTGTGGATGTATGCAAGCACAAATTCATAATATGCTCTTAATCCATGTTTACACACAGCTGCAATAAACATGCCAATAACCCCTCCACAATGCTTTCACTTTAGGAGGCAGCCCAGTGACACAAAGAAAATCTGCATGAAGCACAGCTAACCTCTTTATTGCTTTTTCTCTCTTCCATTAAAGCCTAACAACGCTGAACGTAGTGCACACTCAACTTAGAGCTCGTGAAATAATGATCTATGTGGTTGTGTACTGCATTATGAAAGCAAAAGCTGTTTTCATATTATTTGTTTTTGCTGTCCATCCAAGGGGCTGAAAATCAGGTTGAATGCATCACACTTCTCCAGAGTTTCAACCGATTCTCTGACTGGAAGTGTTGATGCTTCGCTTCCCGCCCTATTCCCCATAGCGCTCTTTATCCATCCTCCTCACACCCCCTCTGGCTATTCATTGTTTGCCTCCTTCTCAACGCCATCTCTCCTTGACTCTTTCCAGCAGGTAGGTAGACAGAAAACAGGTGGTTAGACAAGGAGTAAATAATGCAGACAGGCTGTTAGGCAGTCATAGAAAAACAAGCCCGTCAGGTAGACTGTCTGTTGGTCAGTCATGCTTTTGGGGTAGCCAGTCAGTCAAAGAGCTGGCCAGGTAGGTGGTGAGGCAGGCTGGATTTTCTGTGTGTGCTGCTGGTTAATGGCATCAGGTGCTGCTGTCTGCAATGATTAGTGCTGGGGCTGGAGTAATGGGCTCTGATAACAGTAATGGATCGGCCCACAAACACTTAGCTCAGTTTACTCTCTCTAATGCCTCTCATGGCCCAACCCTCAGCAGCTGTCTGTCTGTCTGTCTGTCTGTTGACACAGCTAACGGGAGCTCTACAATTCATAAAATACATATATTTATTTTTTCTTCTTGGTCTGAATCTCTGTCTAGCTACTTTTTCTGACCTGTACTTATCAGTTACCACCATTCTCTTTTATTTATTGATCTGTACACATAATAAAACTGTCCATGCCTCTCCAAGTTTTTCTTTTTTGCCCTTATCTAACCAAAACACCAGTCATTCACTTTTCACATTTTATTCCAGACACCCACACTCACTCGCTTCACTTTCTATTCCTCAATCTTTCTCCGTCTCGTACTGCCTTCTCCTTCCCATCACCTTCTCTTTCTCTTTATAATAACCTCTATGATTAGTTCTTTATACCTGGTCATTGTTTCACACTCCTGTCCCTTTCTCTCCTGCTGTCTCACTCTCCCTTTCCATCATGTCTCTTCCTCCTCCCACTGAGGGCTGCTTGAACAGGTGGCTTGTGGCAGGTTGTTGCTGTGCTCTGCTTGTTGGCCTGCAGGAGGCTGCCTACCTGTCTGTGTGTGTACGTGTGAGAGTCTGCTTACAAATGTGTGTGTGGGTGCACACGTTCATGCTTGTGTTCTTATGGACAGGTGTGTAGGCATGTGTAGACGCCTGTCTGTGCATATGCTCACGTTTGTGCATAAGTGCCTGTTTATGTGTGTGTGTGTTTGTGCTTGTCTGTCCTGCTGTAACCCTCAGTAATAGAGCAGGGAATAGGAGAGGAGTTCAGCCAGAGCAGGTGATTAAGAAAAATCCCTGCAAGATGGCGGTTCTGTGGCCATCAGTGGCCTCCTCTGGGTAAACAAGGGAGGAATGTGTGGAGAGGAATGAGAGCCTGGTGGCTGCTGCCGAGGACAAGGACAGAGCGGTTTATGACTTTGGGGGATTAACAAGCTGAAGTGGAAACTTTTATAAGTAGAAAAAGAAATAAACTGTTCAGTGGTAGGCTTGGTGGTGGAAATATAGCAGGCCTAGTTATACTAGGAGGACAAGGGGCAATTGCTGGTATCCATGGATGTACAGGCACATGTGCATACAAGTTTCCACTGCCCCTAGGTGAGATTACAAGTGTCTTTTTAGCGTGAATATGTGTATGCATATAGTAAGTACGTACATGGGTCTATTTGTGTGCCCTTGATCACGTATGCACTTTAGTCTGTGCATTTGTAAGTGTTTGTGGGTGAAATCCATATGCAAATGATTCTGTGTTACAGCTGCAGCATCCATGAAGTACCAGAAGGCTAGAGACGCAAAACTTGTGTGAGATCACATGTATTGAAAATCCATTATTTAAAAATTAATCATTGTTTTCATAGTGTTAGTAGGAGTAACTGCCTCCACGTCACATTAGCATCAGTACTGTTTACCTGGCGAAGCCGACTCCTCTGCTAACCCCGTTGGCATCCCTCAATATCCTCGTGGAGATGACGTGACCCAGGGGCTTCAGCATGTTCTCCAGCTCCTGCTCATCCATAGACACTGGCAGGTTGGAGATGTACAGGTTGGTGGGGTCCTGCTCCTGTTGCTGCAAGGCCAGGAGGATAGAACAGCAGGTAGGACAGGGGGAGGGGTGGTGGAAAAGGAAGAGGAAAAGATGAGAAATAATAATATATCACCAACAGTCGTAAGAATTGTGAAATATACATCAGCTTTGTGTCATGAGCCATCACGTAACACGTCTCAATGAAACCAACAACAAAATCCAACTCTGGCTGAACTCACATAACGTTTGGCCTTATGACACACACACACACATTCATATGCTCACAGGCAACATGGACACATCAATAGGTCACTGGGCCTCAGGCTCTATATGTGACACAGGGAGGGTGTCGGACACATTTTGGATTTGGTGAGTGGTAAGTATTACGACAGGGCAAGCCTGTATGAACATCTTGCATTCTGTACATATTTACATTCATTTGTATGAAGGATTCTGGGTGTGTTTCTTTTTACTAAATTTTAAGTGTTAAGTTTAAAGATCAAGAGAAAGAGAGATAGAAACAGAAAACAGTGAGAAGTTGTCTCGTCGTGTGTATCGTACAGCATTTTTTCTGTAGTGCCCAGAGGCTGCTGCTTGCTAGGTGAAGCTGCACAGCTGGTGGTGGGATGAGCCTGAGAAAGCAGGGGGCCCTGTGAGCTCTACAGTAGAACAGCTGGAAACAGCAGCCCAACCCCACCAGTCAATCAGTCACTGAGCCAGGCAGCCACCATAATATATTATTATATATTATAAGTCAGCTATCCATCCATCTATGCTACGTCAGTCAGTCTCTAAATTAAGCATGAAACTACATTATGTCATCCTTATCTTTAATTAGGTATCTTTATGATTCTGTATGCATGTTAGCATATTCTTTTCTAATGTATCAAATTACATTCAATCCATCCTCCCACCCAGGTACTAAGGAAACTATCCAATCAGGCAGTCAGCCAGATTCTGATCTGTTTGCAGCCTGTATTTATCACATCTCCTCTTCATCTACTCCAACATCAACATGTCCAAACCATTCATCCAACAGCAGCCAGGACCACCTTGGATTACAAAAGCTAACAAAAAGCAATATTACAAAAAGGCATCTATGCTGTGATTAGTAGCCAGAGTAATATGATGAGTAAATGAGATTTACATCGACGCCAGCTCGCAGTAAACAACAGTAGCATCTGCAGTGGGTGTCTCCTGGCACCCACAGTGGAAGTGGAAGATGTTACTTTGTTGAAAACACCAAAGATGAATCTTGTACCATCTTTTTCAAATTTGAGGACAATTTATTTTCAAATCAGTCAATTAAATGTATACAACTGAAAATTTTAAATAGATATGGATCTTTTGGATCATTGTGAATGCATCTTTTGTTGCTTCCATTGTAAACTCCACTTTAAATGTATGTACTTAATGCAATGAACCAAAAATGTCCTTCTCATACTTAATAACAGGCCTCTTATGAGAAAGCTACATTATAATCTAGTTTATATGAATAATGTCAGCAGTGTAGGAGCATCACAATGTATGAAGACCATAATCTTTGTGATGGTTGGGATCTATCATTTAATAATAAGGAAGACTACTATATGTATCCTGATTTGCAACAGCAATTAAGAAAGACATCTATAAAAATGTATGAAATGATTTAAATGCTACAAAAAAGGTTAGTTCCATTAATTCAGGAGAGGCTAAGTTGGATCTGCCAAGTCTAAACCTTAAGAACTGGCAACAAGACAAGAGAAGAAGATAAGCAAGGACAAGTAGAACAACTAGCTTCTGCCCAAAGAAAGTTAAGACAATACTGTGTGCACATTTTGCATAATACATTTTTCATATACACATATGACAACAGTTTTCTTTCCTAAACCATACGGAGCCTTGTCATCTGACAATTGCACTACTTTACTTTGAATTAAGTTGATTTGGCTTCAAATAAATGCCTCAAAAAGATGAGAAACCTGAATTTTCAGGGATCTACTTCACACGCATATATGCAGTACTGTAAACACTTCAGTACAGATGTCTGTCTTCTTCTCAGTCGGGGGTTGTGGAGATACTTCAGTTGCAGCCTGCATGTAAACACTGTCTTTGAGAATCTTTAGAGACTCTCTGTGCTTTGCCAAGGCAACACTGTCTCACTCTGTCTTGTTTTGCTTTCTGTTGATGGCAGAGGAAGAGGTTGAGGAGGAGAGGAAGTGCCTCCACCAGAGTCCTGCCTCCATCTCTCCATCTGTCAGAGGGGAAGACTGGTCCCTCCCCTGATTAATTAGCTGTCTTATCTGACAGGACATGTTTGATCTGATTAAAGCCTCTGGGAGAAAGCCGGTGTCCGTCGTGAAAGCAGGAAAAACGCAGCTCTTCTCCTTTAGCCAGGAACTCAATTACCTAACTTCGGGGGCAAACTAAACTCCTCCTTCTTCTGCAGGTTTGTCACATTTATGTGCTTCAGAACGAGCGAGAAAGGGCTCACAAGCGTTTGTATAACATAAGATGTGGCAGTGAATGAGGCTTAATTAAATCTGCCCATAAAAATCGACTGTACACGTGTCACTCTCCTGCTAAGTCCCTTTGGTGTGTGTAGCCGTGCAGCTGTGCCTTCCTTTGAGTTTCACTGGTTATGTGAGGCGATGTTTTTCAGGATTATGTCAAATAGGCTTCGTATTCCAATGCACACAGGAGGTCTGGATCAAAGAGTTAAACTGACTGACTCACTCACTGGGCTAAGCCAATGGTACGAGAGTGTGTGTGTGTGTGTGTGTGTCTGCATGCTTTTGAATGACTTTCTTGTGCAGCATGTGACAGTACACGCAGAGAAAGAGTGTGATAGAATGTGAAGCAGTAATTTGTGCGCGTGGGCTAATAGTAGAGGGCTACGTTTGCTGGGGGATTATCATGGGGAGGCCTCGTCTACGCACGGCCGCCTCGCAAAGTTTCCTCTTTGATGACGTTCCGCACCACAAAGCCCTAAATACCCAGATGAGAAGGTTACGGGGACGAGTGGAAATGGGAGCATTTTGACGGGAGGTGAGATGGGCTGGCCCATTCCACAAGGAGATTTAATTTCCTTTAATGTCAGCCTTCACACACGCTCTGCTGTCAGGCAATGAATGAAACGGTAATTGAGGTGTGTGTGCGTGTGTGTACCTGTGCATATATCCTATCACTAGCAATTATGTGTGTGCGTTTGTTCCATCGAACATATACTGTAATGCTGTAATACGTATCTTTTTTCCCGAAGTGCCTGCTTCTTGTGTGTGCAATGGCAGTTGTGTCCGTCCCCTCACCATTGACCAGTGTTGTAGAAGGCTAATGGAAAGGCTTCAGGCTGCGCTGGGCCTTTGATGAGCATAATTCCTTCACCTTGCCATGAGGAGGACAGGAGGAACCCAACTGTGTGTGCGCAGGAGGGGGGAGGCGGCCAACATGTCATTTCCCGCTGACGGATGGCCCCCTCGCTAGAGCTGACAGCCCTGTAGCTGTTATTTCATTTCGACACCCTGCTCTGTTTACCTCACTGTAATTTCTGAGAACATTACCATGCTAAGGGGGGGGGGGGTTAAACAAAAAACAAAAGAGAAAATAGGAGTATAGATCATGGTGCAAAAGGTGAAAGAGTGAAAAGGCAAGGAAGAGAAAGCTGGAGAGAAAGACAGAGATGGAGACAGCTGACATGACAGGCAGATATAACACATTAAAGGAAGCCCTTGTTGTCTTTTGACAACGCTTGGGGGAAAAGAGACGTCAGCCGTTAGAAGTCTCACGTTCCGCCTATGGGGTTCTCAGGGCTGTATCCATTTAACTGATAAAAGTTAGACAGATAGATATATGTCTTGACTGGGGGCGCTGCATCTAACGTTATGTTGAGGCTCGGAGCTGCCCTCACTCTCTTGTCAACACACTTTTTTCAAACTATATCTCCAGATTCCTTCACCCCATTCTGTCTTTCTTCTTCTCCCCTTTCATACCACTGACTGCTCCATAGCCTCTCTTTCTCCAACTATTCTTTTTGTCAACTCTTTTCATTTTTCACTCACTTCAGCACCCTCTCTGTTCATTCCTCTTACTACTTCCCTTACGTTTTCCATCATTCCATTCCTGCTCGTCCCCCCCCCCCCCCCCCCCCCCC